TTGCTTCTGCTTTTTCATTCATTCAAACCGCGTGTTGAAAGTAAGTTTTGTATTATTGCGTGTTGGTTTCCAACATCCTTAAATCGGTGATGCCAGTAAATCTTTAATACAAAAAGATCAGTAACATCTGCAATAAAAACAGCAGTACCCACTCAAATGACAGCTGGGGGATGGATACTCTCAGTATCTGCTCAATCGTGTGCCTCTTACAGTCTTACCAGTTTACATGAGTGCCAATTGGTATCTAAGCTCAGCCAGAGACAAAAAGTTTCGGACTGCAGTTGGCGTGACGAAATGTTTTTAAATATATATTCTACAATAAGATTATTTGATTGCATACTACTGAAAGTTCCGCCTTATATGTCTTTTCCCATTGCACAATTCCTTTACTGATATTCGATAATATGACGCTCATCTGGCATAGTTCTTAAAGTGTGTAGATGGGTATAATCTTTTCCACGCTGTTCAGATGGGAATGCGCAAATATATATAAGAATTGCTAATATTGATTTGCAATGCGATGAAATCCCATCTTGGCATTTCTGCCTCTCGCAATTGCTGCGTATACTTATCGGGGAAGTTCTGTGGCGTGGTTATCAAACGAAAAAAAAACATAGGAGTATTTTTTCTACTTCTCTACTACTATCAAACCTTGACATTTTGTGAAAACTTTTTTCCATGCAACCTTTTTTTAAAACATCCCAATATCCCCAACAACCACAACAATTTCTGTTATTAAACTTCCGAAACAAACACATAAAATCATCAACAGATGCATATCACCAAGTAGATATTGCTGAATTGATCTTTATTTTACCATTTTTCATGTAATTCTTTTTGGTAAACCTGTTATCTATCGTAAATACAGCACATTTGACAATGTTGTAGTGTGACTATTTTGGCCTTACATTTTTGATATTTGTAGTTAGAGCTCTTGGGGCTCTGTCAAACAAAGTTACATACAAAATATTGGTTGTAAATTGCAAAACATGATCATGTTGTTGGAATAACTTGGCATTTTACCACCCGTATATCATTCATTGTTGAGAATATTAATAAAATCATAAAATTTAAAAATCCGTTTTCGTGAAATTTTTGTTGTAGCTGAATTCCAGGGACAGCATGACAACAGGCAAGAGAAGCACGGTCGCCTCTTTTAGTTTATGACAGGGTTTCTTAAAAGGGGACCCCGTCCTCCTTGGAGGCCGCTGATCGGTTATCTGGGAGCACGAACAAACAGATGGAAATGCGAATATATAATAACAATGTATTTTTATAGAAGAGAAGAAGCAAAAGTGTTGAGAGTCTTTGGTAGTTTGAAAAGCATTGGCATGGAACATAAGAATGACCTACATTCTCTCCCAGGGATATACTATAAAATGTAGCAATATTCTTTGTTCTCGTGATATCATTATCTTTCACTGCGTCGTCGTGATCATCCCGCTAACAAATAATTGACTGTTTTCCACCAGTGTGACTCCACTTGAACCACTGTCGACTGCATTAGCAGGCTTGTATTGTTAATTGCAACAAAAAGGGTATTTTGAAATAGTACTCTTTATTTTACGCGTATGTTTCGACAGTATTTCCATATACTGTATATGGGTCGCGACCCAAAGCTGGGCTCAACAAATACCTAAAAGTTATTGATTTTATTTCCTAGTAAATTTGGTGCTTGCGTAGTTTGTGCACCAAGATTGCGCACAACCTGAACATAGTATTGTAACAGGTTATGGTTCAGGTTGTGCGTCATTATGATGCACATGTTTGACGAAAAACACTAATACAAATATCTCAATAAATACCTAAAAGTTATTGATTTTATTTCCTAGTAAATTTGGTGCTTGCGTAGTTTGTGCACCAAGATTGCGCACAACCTGAACATAGTATTGTAACAGGTCATGGTTCAGGTTGTGCGTCATTATGATGCACAGGTTTGACGAAAAACACACCCATGTAGAAATGATGGGCAATAACCAAGATGAATAATTGCAAATAAAAAAAACTTTATGTCTGAAATCAAACTTGGGCCAAAAAGGTCCCCTTATCTGCCGGACTATGGCATGTTATTGGGAATTGACATGACAAAAGAATCTGACAGAAGGTATTTTTTTTAAAATTGAATTGTGCATCGTAAAACTCTTGAACAAACAGACTAGAGCAGTGGTAACAAAATGATTCATAATTCCAATACTTATATGCGCAGTCTAGCGGGGGATTTGTTTTATCTAAAAAGCGTATTTGAAGATTATCTTCGAACATTTTGTAAGTAATCGACTCGAAATAACTTGATGTATTATTGTTAAAAAGAACAGACTAATACAGTTTGAAACCGTACATTGAATAAATTCAAACCAATTAAATTTTGTGATTGATGTCATGATTCATGATATGATTATTCAATTTCACGTGCAACATAATATGCCATCCTGGCAATTATTTATACCGCAATCATTCTCAAAAGCTTCTGACAAAGCACATGAGCACATAGTTCACATGAAAAGTCAGATAAATGTCTGTTTTGCCTATTTGTTGGGATTTTGACTTTAATAGATCCGACGATGCAGTAAAGACATCGTCAAATGATTTTTTGGATTGAAGTCTTAATGAGTTGGATTCGGTTACAGTCATTTAAGAACCTTCGTACACAAAAGCAAAGTTTTGCGAGTTGTTATGGTCGGTATTTTTCTAAATGATTTTATTTAACACCTTTGAATTGTTTGTGAAAAAATGTTCTGATAAGTCAATCCAACTATAAATTTTATGTAGTGTTTGGGTCAACGTTTCCCAACTGTTAAAGCGGAAAGCGAGAAATATGTTAACTGTGGAAATCACATACCGTAAAACTTCGTCTGTCATTTCAAGAATGAAACGAACAGTATACTCTGGAAACATTCCAATGGACGAAAGGGAAAGAAGGGAAGTCGATGAAACCGAACGGGCAAGAATCGCGAATTATCTTCCATCTGAAAGTCCACAAGAACCTCCAGATCCATCTTCAGAGGAGCAGCGCCGTCTTGTGGAATTGTTCACATGTCGTTCGCCATTTCAACCACAAATGTTAGTGAAGGCGATAAGACAGTATGCTATTATTGTAGTGCCATTATTGTAGTATCATGCAAAGAGGTTCCCAGGGTAAGATATTTCGATTAGGGTGTGTGACCTCTGATCTTAGTGTTAGTAGTGTTATTCGCAAGCGGTACTGCTGCTTTTGTGCAGTTTTAAGTAGCTTGAAATGCGCATAGACAATGCATGATACTAATAATAACACCAGTCTTATGCTCAAATAAATGGATACGCAACGCAATTCACCGATTCCCCTTAGCCGTATGCGGTAAGTCACCAGTACCTGTATCGGGGGTACCGTGACGGTACAGGGACTGTCTTATAGCTTGTCCTATGACGTGAATTTCAGCGTGAATTCAAAGAACAGGTAATCTGAGACACTTCTTCTTTAATAAAAATCAAAAGATGAGAGCGTAATTCACTGCGGTATTGCCGGTACAGATACGATAGGTAACTTACCAGTACCGGACTTGTGGCTGTAGGCATGGGCTACTGGTGACGGACGGTCCTACAGGTACTGAGGTAGTTTTCTGGGTGACCGTACATTTGAACCCATGTACATTTGAACCCATGCGTATATTCACGGGTTCAATCTATATGCGGGTGCTAAAACCCATGGGTTAGGGTTAGTATGGGTTTAACTATCCGTGAAACAAAAAAAAAATCCATAGGTGCAATAGCATACAGGTGAAATTGTCATGGGTTCAAATGTACGTGGGTTCAAATGTAATGGAACCAGTTTTCTGATTCAGTTTTAACGTGAATTGAAACATTACCTGATCTGAGTCACTTTTATATTACGGTACCAGATCCAACAGTCTACCTTTAGCAACTTGTTACTTTCGTAAGGCACCATTTCCACCGGCAATCGCCGAGCCGAGCACAAAATAAGCTGATATGCGTCCACAGAAATATTTGAAATAAAAGAAGTACTTGCCTTCTAGAAAAAAAAATTCATTTATCAAAGGGAATAGCGACTTTTTAGGTTTTCCACTAGGTGTACAAAAAAGCAAAACAATTCATAGGTCCACTACGTGTCCAATAAAGAATTGGAGAATATTAGTAATAAAACAGCAAATGCAAATTCCTCGGAAATTATGAATTTTTTACCTGAAGTGGAATATCTCCGCGATCGGACAAACATGGGACCAAATTATTCGTTCATATGAAAACATTTATGGGGGTCAGTTTTGCTTGCGCTTAGCATGGTGCGCAGCCTGTTTGAAACTGTCGGATGGTACAAAGGGAATTAGAAGTTGTCGGGAGTTTCATAAATCAATGAATCATGGACTGCAAAGCTGGAACACATGAAGTTTATTTTTTTAACCACTTTTGTTCGGCAGAAGTTCAGCGGTGAGATTCGAGGGTATTAGCTTATTCTTGGTATGTCATGAAAGTCTGCATAAGTCGATGCATCACGCAAAAGAGAACCCGTTCTTGAAAATTTAAACTCCACGACTGCAGAAGTTACGCAACAATTTGGGTATTCCCGTAGTATGTGTACCAGGTTAGGGTTAGGCCATAATTTTAATCCGATTTTTGTTATTTTAGTTCTATTACGACTTACGAGTTTGGGGTCTGTCTGTGCTGGCCAAGTGAATATACCCCCTGTCTATAGAGTTCCGTCCCTTTACACAACTTGATGTGGAGTAGGCGAAAAAATTTATTTCTTTTATTATTGGTACACATACTTCTGGAGCGACAAAATTTGCAAAGGGGTCACGCCTCCGGGCATCAAAATAATATGCCACACCCTCCGAATAAGTGATCACATATTGTGTAACAATATCACAGCTACATGGATTTCAAAACAAGGTATTAAATTACAAATACGATACCGCAACATCATTAGCGAGCTAATATTTTGGTTACCTCATACGCGTACGGGTGGAGGTCGTTGATTGTATATGAAATTACTCGGGACTAATAAGGAGTTGTCGAGGTTTCAGAAAACGATTTCAAGTTTCTTTTACGTTGAGGATAAAAAAATATGGCGGAATGTAAACCACATTAAAGTTTGTGCTTGGAATACTTTACTCGGGAAACACAAAAACCGAAGTCAGGCAAATTTGCCCGCACTTATCAAAATCGCTATCAGATTTGGACGTCGACTTTATTGACAACACAACAGACGATGTGTTTTCCTTAAGTTATGGCGGCGAACATCAAAACATTGCCCAGCGTTCCAATACGTTTCTCAGAAGTAGAAGCACGGACAGACTCGATTATGACATGTAAGATATAGTTAGAAAAGAAATAAGCTAGTGCCAGCTTCTGTTGCAAATTGAACGCTCAAATTTTACTTGGTAGTACTGCTTATGCTTATTAATTATTTCAATAAATTTCTTGCGTTGAATAGCTAATATCAAACCTGGGACTCTGCCAATGTATCGCAGATTGACTTTCTAATAATTCTATTTAAGTTCATAAATTATTTTTCGTATCGATGTTTTAAAGCAGTGGTTCTCAAACTTTCAAGTCGCGCTCCTTTTTTTAGAATTTGTCAAATCTCGTGCCCCACCTCAGAAATAACTAGCTAACAATATGCTATAAATAACAGATAGTAAGGCGAAAGTATGTTTATTCAAAAAAACACGTTGAAAATACGTGGATGAAACGTAAATATATATACAGAATAAAGAAATGTAAATATCCAAAATAAGGCGGGCAAGATCAAATCTACCAAATATTTTCAATTAGTTTCACGATCCCTCAAAAAACTGGCTATGCCGTCCTTGTGGGGTGCGCCCTTTCGTTTGAGAATTATTGTTTGAAACTATTACGTGTTCTGTTTGACAAAGCGCATTAGCATGTTGCACATCCACACTCACAATTTTGTATTTTGCCTTGGACATTTCCTATTTTGATTCAATCAATACCCTTAATAAAGACTGAACGTTGTTGATAAACTTGGAAAATCCTGAAATTAAAATTACAGGTCTTTTGAAATGGAGAAAGGGACAGTGGGATTTAGTGAAGGTAGGCATCGACTAGATATAATTTTATTGATATCTGTAGTTCAATAGATTTCTAGATATTTATCGCAAAGCTATATTTCAATCACTGCTTCAATACGACATTGTTTTGATCAATTATGAACAAAAACTCCTTCTTAATTTGCATTCTAAAATAAGGGATTGTAGAATACGAATGAATAAGTATAGGAATAGAATATAAATCTAATATATACACATACTCGGCTCGTAATTTAGGCAATCATTGTAAGGTATGATTCGAACAAGTATGTTCCATAGACTGGGAACATTAGTTGACAATTATAAACGCACGTCAAAGAGCATATCGTATTTCGTGAGGGTCTCCACCTTTTGTTGTTTATTACAATCCGAACTCTGCAGACTACAAAATTTGTAATGAAGTCGTAATGAGGTCAGGTATATAGAAACCACCTGCGCCTCAAAGAACCTCTGTTGTCTTATATTTTCAATACCGCAAAGTCATCAAAGGAAGGAAAAAAGAAGAATGAAACCTTATAATATCTCCGCTATAAATAGGTTTCTAGACAAGTGATTATAACCGGGATTTTAAACAGTAGTTTTTTGAGCCTCTAGAACAGAGGTCTGCAACTGGCGGCCGCCAAGTCAATTAGTGTGGCCCTTGTCAACCCCCCCCCCCCCCCCCCCCCATCAATCGAAAAATCTTAATCAGAAAGTTTTGATTGAGAGTCGCTCACGTCGGTAAAAATACATAATGATTTTTTGTTATTGTTGCTGCTTATATCTGCATCCTTTTATATTGCCTTTCCCGCGATTGTAGCTAATTTTTTAATTCGTTGTGCACACGGAATTTTTTTTTTTGTGTGGTCCGCTCTGAAGTTTGCTTTAGATCTATAATGTTTCATCCCCGCCAAAAAGGTTGAAAAATATTGTTTAGACAAATTGTTACTTGTTATTATATTTGAGAGGATTAAATATTTACCGATATGTAAATTGCTGTACAAAGCAATCGAACCTAGATCATTAAACCGTGACAAAGTTACTTTCAACTTTCTAACCTACAGCTGTTTGTTATTTCAGAGTTGGCCACTACACCGAACAAAGCAAAGGCAATAGAACGACAAACGGAATTGGTCGATGCAAGGTCGCAACCCAAGATTGCTTGGTCTGATTTCTTAACTGATGCAACCAGAAGTAGTCTTGGTAAAATTGTTCAAATTTTATTTATCTTGAAGAGGGTGTTGACAATTTTATTGACTCGTTTCTCATAATGGCAATAGTAAAAGCATATATTCAAGTTGGTATACTTGAATCACAATACCACATATGAAGACAAAAAATACCAATAACCTTACAAATATAGCTGTATTACGTACAGTTACATTGGGTCAAAATAAGTAAAACTAAAATATGGAAATATGCTCCCCCAGAAGATTCAAGATTTGTGGGGATTTTTTTTATTCATATCTCAAATTATCAATCTAGAGTTTTATGAGCTATTCAAAGCACTTTTCACCAAATTTATTATTTCTAATGATACACATTGCTATTTGCAGAAAATCCAGAGACCTACATGAGCAATGAGGAACCGCCAAATCGACTGTTGCCAGAAAGAATGTTTAATCAAAGTACGATCAACCACGAAGAAGAGTTTACCGGTAAGAAATCAGAAATCAAGCGCTTGGTGCTCTGATATTATTTTGAGGTATTTCAGCGTTCTCTGTTCTCCAGCTTTACTTCTTTCACGCACCTATGTGCTAGATTAAGAAAGACGGAATCTAGAAATAATAATCGGTATGGATATGGTCTCAATACTAAATATATAGTCCAAATATTTAATTTTATTTTTATTTTTATAAATTTCTTATTTGTCTGTTTTGAACGCTTCATCACGCCCCTCACTATACTGTGTACACAAAGCATTGTTCCATTTGCTGTTCAATTTCGAAGTGATCATTTGCTAGATGTTGCTCGCAACTCTTATTCTGGCCTCTTTGCATAGTTTTGCATTGTTCCAATGTGTTTATGAGCACGTATCACAGTAATACTAATACCCGCATACAACAAATAAACTACAATACATACAATTAAAATTTACTTCCAAAAACAGCAAAATTTCTCTTTGAGGCGGAGTTCTCCCCCGACTGGGATCGTTAACATAATACATTTTTATGTCTCATAAATACACAACAAAACATTTGTTTAGATGAGCAGAGTAACCAAGACAATGAAATAATTAGTGTCAGGAGCGCAAGCCACAATGAGAGGGCTCGGTCAGAATCAGATGTGACGACTCGTGGTAAATATAGTTTGGATTCATTAAATTAATTTGATAATGATGAGCTATGACTATATACCTAAACTTTTCCAGATACACCGAGTAGTGCTCCTCCATGGGGGATGAATACGAACGAATCGAATTGGAGTAAGTGTCGTATCGTGTTCCTTCGTACATGCCGTGTCATGAATGCACGTATTATGTGTTGGTTTTAACCTATTTATAAATATTCATTCTCAAAATACTCAGTCTATTCACCTTATGTAATATTGCTCGAATGAACTCAAAATTTTGTTCAATATTGGTTTAGCTCTTCAAAAGCAATAACCATTAACGGAATCCACATACAATTTTAAAATGGGGAAATTGCGAACACGCTTACGTTTATTATTGAATACAAAATCTACCTAACGATCGTTTGTTAAATTGTTGTTGTTATTGTTAGAATTCTTAAAAAAAATCGCAATTTTTTAGCTACTGGACCTATTAGCGGTTACAGTAAAATTGTCACAATACAATAAACTATGTGGCTAAATTTTCAGATAACCCGAGGGCAATTTATCCTACGTTCGCTCCAAAGATTCCTTCAGCACCGGCAATACAGAAGTCTGAATCAAACATATCCTTGCAGGTCCGGACTGTTAGTTCGCAAACAGACCAGTCCAGCCCAATCGATGAGATACAAGCAAATGAAAAGCAATATGCAAATGATACTAACGAATCGGGGTAACTATAAATCGTTTTTGGACTCGAAGTTGGCTTATGGATATTTTATTGTTGTTGTTTTTCGTCTGTTTGTTGTTGCTAGAAGACTATTACTTTTATTTATTTCAACAATTTCTTTGGGCTCTATGGCATTAGTTTTCTACTTATGTGAAATGAGGCCGTGATAATTGATATTGCGATTCCGAGTTCGCAGTGCGGTGCTCAGTCGAAGACGAGACGACTACCGGTTCGTTAAAAGATTTGATGACGGAACTACTTCGTTTTTCATATATTTGAGCATTGTTATCTTGTTTAATGTAATGAATTACGCTTTCCTCGTGGGCTAACTTGTACTCTGAATAGTATGTATAGGAATTCTGTATTTCACATTGGTATTCATTTTGTAATATTTAATTCTGTTATTTTTTTGTTATAGATTACAGAATGTGGCAAATGCATTGACAAAAATCAATTCTCACTTCGAAGTCAGTAAAATACTTAGAGAAGCGTACCAGCAACTTGAATGTATAGGAGAACAAATGAAATTGAATAAAAGGTTCATTAAGAAATATGCAAAGGAAGGTACAAAAAGAACTTTTTAAATAACCCAAGGTTTCAGAGGGGCTATAAAATAAGTCATTTCAGGCATTTGCTAAATGGTCTAATATCTTTGATTTAGTACTCTGCTCCTTTGCTCTGAATAATGGCGTTTTTTCACTTATCAAATTTTCGTCTGCGTGTGTAAACAGTTTCGTTTATGTGGAAGCTCACAACAATGTTTCAAGCAGTCTTACGTAAAAAAATATACCTTCGGTGAAGTGATGAAAAAAACACTTGAATAAGTAATGAATCGCAATTTATTTGCATTTGAAGTCTTAAGTCTTTACCAAAGATTGGATTAAAAGTTATTATAGGAGAATATTACTTGATCAGAAAATGTGAATTGAAGCTATCTTATGTCACTCCATCCATCAATAAAAGTGCTAGAGCAAAGCCAATAAGAAGACATTCTAAAGTCACCGTATTTGCTAATTTTCATTAAAAACTTTACGTTATTTTAACAGAACGATTTCTGAGAGAAGACTTGAAGAAGCAATACGCAAAGTTAGGCCCGATATTCAAAAATATTTGGGAACCAAGAAAAAGGGAAATAATGTTGGAAGCGTTTAAAATTTCCCAAGAATCACACTCGAACACTGCATTGAAGCTGCTGGCTCAGACATGCAGTATTGTCACAACCATCAACCTGGCATATGAAGAAGATACTTTGCAAATGGAGCAGTTCATCAGCAGAGTCCAGGACGTCTTCAACATTGGGGGGATATTCAGAGAAGAAAAGAAGCCAATTCATGCGTTTGCTTCATATTATATTGCTTCAAAATTATACAGATTTCAAAATCAAGAAGAATTTTCTTTTTCCGGTATTCAAAATTGCATTGAGCAGGCACACCTCGTTGTGAAACAAGGGGGTAAAAAAGAAAAATATTTTCATCATTACTCAATTCCAATGTTGTGTGAAATGCTCGAGCTTTTATTGAAAATAGACAGCCGGGATAAAACTGTAAAGGTGCGAAGTCATGCCCAGTGTGCATTGTACATCGTTGAATGTTATTTCGAACTTGATGGCTTCCAAAAGAGTTTGCTCATGAACGAACAAGCTGTCGAAATGTTTCGAGCAGAGATCAGCGAACCAGAAAAGTACAATATCTTTGGAAAATGCTTATCAAAAATGGGGAAAGTGTACAACAGAACTGGGAAGCCGCAAGAGGCTTTAGAATATTACGACTTGGCATTTCAATCTTTGCAAAAAGCAAATGATTGGAAATCAGATTCTGAAAAAGTTGTCTCAATCCGCTGCGTAGACTCAGAAAGGGAGAAATTGAGACGAATACATAATTAGCACGAAGTGTACAGTTATATGTCGCCTGAATACTGATATAACTTGTTTTGTGAAATCGCTTGTTGTTTGTTAAAGCTTGGCAGAACATAGAATGATCCCAAAATAATGTGTGAGATAGTCCCTACGAACCCCAAGCATAATTATTCTCGGCTCCGTATCTTAAGACCAGGACCGGGGAGTAGGGGTCGGAGCCTAGAGCCATGGCATTTTGGTGGAGCAGGAGCCAAGCTTAACATGTTAGAATGTTAGATGGAGCTGAATCTGGAGCTACGAGAAATTATAGTGGCTCCAGCTCCGAACCATCTTATTATTTTTTAACATTTATAATTTTCTAATACAAATAACAAAATCTATCTTTTTCAGTTCCCAATTTTTGATAAATTTCAATTTACAATATTAAATTAAAATCTCAAGTTGTATATATATATTTGAAAACTTCAATTTTGAAACTTTGAACGGCCTTATATCATACTTCGAATCTCGCTTCCCCAAAACTTCACTTGGTATGGAACCGGAGCTGAAGCCCAGCTCCGGAGTAAAAAAAAATGAAGCTCCGGAGCCGGATCCACAGTTCGATATATTATGGCTCCGGAGCTGAAGCCAAAGTCACTGTTATTTCGAGCCAGCTCCCCATCGCTGCTTAAGACTGGGGTATGTCTCAAGCTGGTATTATAGACTAGAGTGAGGTCTACCGATGTATCTCGAAGAAAATGTATTTTTAACATGTATACAAATTCAATAGATATATATTCGTAATATTTTATCTGGAGGTGTTAATAGTTCAATTTAAAATATTTTATCTTGCAATTTCCCTAATTCTATAAAAAAATGATAGTGGTCCGTCTTTTAAAAGAGCAGAAACACAACTCTAGTTACATTTTGATCTTGATTGAAGTTTTGTGCAAAATGCAAGCCATTATTGTTGAGGATTTATCGTATTTCCCACTAGGAGAAATTACGCGAACTAGTTATCTAGAAATTGCATAATCACTAGTCCAAATTTTACTTTTTCACATCGCCTATTCCACCAGGTCGTGGATGACTGTACCGTCATACAAGCTAGGCTAGAATATAGTGCAAATCTATGCAATACAGGTAATATGGGGGCTATGATCAGTATATATCAGGAAACCGCATAACAGATTACATCACTAAAGAACTAAAAACACGACCGATCTACATCCCGACGGCCGGAGAAAAGGGAGCGAATAATATAGTTTTCCGTGATCTGACAAAAGAGCATTAAATAAGGGTCGACATAACTGTTTATAAACATAAAAATATATATACACACAATATAAACGCGGACGCTATATGGTCCGCGACGCAATGTCAGCCACTTATTCAATCGTAACATACCGTATCTTATACGGACAATAAGGCGTATGCGTAAATAGCGTAGCGTAATTTAAAATATTTGAAATGTTAATAAAATTGTTTGTTCTTTGGCTATTTGAGCGGGACCAAAGCAAAATTAAAAAGAATAAATATAAGCTTGCAAATACATACGGAGGCGATTTTTCAAGAACGGAACAATATCGACACACACAGCTATAAAGCACTACCTGATCCATACATCAGACGCACCGGCTTATAAGGCGCATGATTTTCGAGAAAAAGGATTTGAGAATTTGAAGTTCGTATACTCGAATACGATCTTCGAAAAAGCTTTAAACATAAAAATATCACATGCAAAAATATCACTATTTACTATTACCCAACCAGCACATATTTCGCTTCCCAGCTTTTTAAGCTTAGTGACTCGTGTGCGCATTGCATGTTCATCAGAGCAAGTTAGGCGACCTTGAATCTTTACGCTACCCAACCCGGGGTCGCGACTAGTAATTTGGGCACCACTGGGACAGAGTGTAGTTCGAATCTATGCAATGTGTGAAGGACTACTCTAAATATAAGAGAGCGCTGTTCAGATATGTGGACACGAAAGTCGGCATAGCGAATAAACTGTAAAAGTACCATTTTCACAATTTCGCCATGACTTGTTCTCTTAAAACTCATTTTCAACTGTTTTCTTGCAAGCTGAATGTTTTCATTTCTGTGCCCCGCTACCCAAAATAAGGTTGACATTAAAAACACTATGTTGGTAGTCTATATATATATACATTTATAATTATCTTTCATGATACGTATTGAACACAAATTGATTTAGTCTATTTCAAACAATTTTTTAGGATTACTACTTTAGGGCTATTATTAAAAACAGCATATTAACATAACAGTCTTGTAATATAAGTTTAAATCACATTCTTGAGATTCTTGTCATCTTCTGTGAATGATTTGCAGTGTGTTCCGCCTCTAGTCTAGTTCTCTGGGAATCCAGGAAAGAATTCGAACTTCTTTTCGAAAGTATGAGAAGAATCACACGCCATGGCAAAGTTAGTTAAGTTCGGGTTTTCGGATGTTCTTCTGTTAACCTTGTCATGAACATGATTCATAATTGCAATCATATCTTTCTCAGAGGAGAAGTTTTCAATAGCTTTACATAATTCTTGAATGTACCAACTTCCGTAGGAAGTGTTCAGTACCGAAACACTTCCTTCGCTAGTCGCAAAAGAAATCAGCATGTTTGGTTCTTGACCAACGTAATGTTCAGCGGGATGCTCAGTCTTATCTTCGCCTTCTGTTCCTGCTCCTACTTGATCTATTCCCAAGTCGTAATTTGGACCAATAATTTGACCACCTCGCAAAACTTTACGGAGGCCATCCAGCAGTTTGTCTTTAATCAACTTGGGGTTTAGAGTATATTTCCTGGGATTGTCGTAGGCCACGGCATCAATCGTATCTGTACCAAATTGAGCGCGAGTAATCCTTTGATATTCACTAGGCCGTCTCTCTCTTCCGCGACACATTTGAAAAAACATCATAACGGGGACTTCCTTCAACTCTTCCTCGGATTTAAAGAGTTCAACTAGTTCACTGACGCATAGGCGTAGCCAGGGGGGGGGCCAGAGGGGCCATGGCCCCCCCCAAAATTTTCAAGAATTTCATTCCTAATCCACCAGTTTTGTGGCATCTTGTCTCGTCACGCTTGCCGATTGTCATTGTTACGTCACAAAGACTTGACCGTTCGCTCTTATGAGCAGTATGGGAAAGACCGTTTCGCAAGCTTTCGGTTTGTTACTCGGTCTTGATTTGTTCTCGCCGGATTTTTATTCGAAACGGTTGGATTTTGATGACCAATTTACTTCGATGGCTAAATTTAAACAGGCGAAATTCGATAGTTTTTTTCAGCGAAATAAAGACTCGCTTTCCTCAAATACATCAATAAGCGCTTCTCAGGCTGTGGATGCACCGGTTACGTCAGTTACGTCTATCACATCTATTCCCGAAGATGAACTAATAATCAACGAAGGGAAAACAAACGATCTTGGATTTATTCTTAAGAAACATACACAGCTTACCGATGCGGAGAGAAACTGGCTTCTAACTTCGGATGGTCCGAAAAACGGGACGATTCTGGATACTGTTAGACAAAGTCGTCGTAAATTTCTCAAAAAATGGCTTGACGATAACAGATTTTGTAGTTGGTTAGTTTACACCCAACTCTCTGATGGGGGTGGTTTGTGTAAGATATGCATAGTCATGCAAGCACGTTTGAAGCATGGAATTCTCAGGGACACTGCCTTTGTTACAAGACCATGCATTGACTACAAAAAATTTATGGAAAAGGCTGTAGCACACCGAGACACAAATTACCACCGAGAATCAAATATAGCTGCGAAAAATATTTTGTCAAAAGCATGGAAACTGGTCAAAATGTGCGTGCAAACATGGAGGCCCAATATGCTACGCAAACAAAAGAAAACAGACGAATAATGACTTCCATTGTCAAGACTGTCATGTTCTGTGCTTCGGGTAACATACCCTTGCGCGGACATTCCGGGGGTAGTGGAAATTTTGTGAACCTTCTTCTATTTCGTATCGAGGCAGGGGATGAAGATTTGAAAAGGCATTTCGCTAGAATGGCCGGAAACGCTAAGTATACAAGCTCGATGATACAAAATGAAATTCTCAAGGTAGCAAGCAACATGATAGTGCAAGATATCGTTATGGAGGCTAATAAATCGTTTGTGTCCGTAATAGCCGACGAATCATGTGATATTTCTGGGAAAGAACAACTAAGCATCGTTTTTAGGTATGTGAAAGGTGGTGAAGTGTGCGAGCGCTTCACAGGATTAGTGGAAATGGATTCTGTTTCTGCCGAATCAATTTCCTCAAATATTTTGACCCACCTCTCTGGTATAGGAGTGGATTTGCAAAAACTTGTGGGGCAAGGCTATGATGGTGCAACGACAATGGCAGGTCACGTCAGCGGTGTGCAAAAACGCATTCGTGATAAATACCCGCGCGCAATATTTGTGCACTGCGCTTCTCATTGTTTGAATTTGATCATGAATGATCAAAGTAAAGTTGCAATCATCAGAAGCACCTGTGATATCCATTCGTGAGACTATTCGTTTTTTCAGGGAGAGCCCTAAAAGGCGCGCGGGTTTAGGAATTAACATCCCTTTGTTCTGCCCCGCCAGATGGTCTGAGAAGTACAAGAGCATCCGAATCTTCAAATGCAACTTCAAACGAGTACTTGAGGCTCTTGATTCTTTGGCGAGAGATGCTAACTGTGAGACGCGGGCGAAGGCTTTTTCTCTGAAATCTGCTCTAGAAAAGTCGTCGGTTATCAACGCCGTATGTTTGATTGGTCGATATTCGGCACTAATGGAGCCACTAGCGCGCGCACTTCAGGCGGTCGGAGTCAGTGTGCCGTCAGTAAAGAACCTCACATCCTCTCTTCAGAGCGTTATCGCTGAAGAACGCAATGACTCTGAAATCGCATTGAATATTTACAAAGAAGCTTGTGAAATAGCTGGCTTGAAAGAGTTGACAATACCCAGAGTAGTCGAAGTACAAGTTTATCGCGATAATGTCTGTGCTGATTCAGCATCCCAGTATTTTAAACGTTCCGTATATCTCCCATACGTCGACGGCTTGAGCTGCTCTATTCGGGAACGCTTCATTGACAACCCTTCATTTTTTTCATTGCTATCAATTTTTCCACCGAACAAACCAGTTCACGTGGATAAGGTAGAGCGTCTGTATTTATTGGATAACCTCCAGAATGAAGTGAGACTGTGGAGAACTTCTTTAAGTTCCGACGTTAACGACGAATGTTTGGAGGGGCTTCTTCTGAGCGCTCGAGATTATCCAAGCGTGTACACCGCAATACAGATTGTTATGACGCTACCAGCAACCACCGTTGAGGCTGAGCGGTTTTTCTCATGCATGAAACGGGTAAACACATGGCTGCGCTCATCAATGACGTCCAAGTGCCTTTCTGATTTGTGTGTGCTTCAATGTCACCGTGAAATGGTCACCGAGGAGAAAATTAATCGAGTTGTGTCGAGCATAGTTGGCGGGAAGCGAAGGATGGACTTTTAATTGGGGCGATGTATTTTACTTATTCAAATTGCGTTGTTAATATTTGTTGTTTCAAATAAAAAATTGTTTATTAATGGATTTCGTATTCACAAAAATCCAGCTGAGTAATTGAATCAGTTTGCTTGTTGACCAACTGTTGTTGTTTTGCGCTTGAAGAACGGGTGTTTTAAACCCAATATAATTTCTAAAATTTTCGAATTTGGCCCCCCCCCAAAATTTTGGGCTGGCTACGCCACTGCACTGACGTTACACCAAGTGCCGTCATCGCCACAGACCATATCCTCTCCGCCCTCTGATCCAGTTCCATGAGACATTATAACAATCGCCATAAAAGATGGTCTCTCTTTCGTCTCTGTTCGTTTTGCGTGTTTTATAAACAATTGAAGATGATCTTTGATCTCTTCTGCTGATAAATTTCGACGTTGCTCAACATGGACTTTAGATCCATACCTTTTGCCTCCCAGCTTTTGAAAGGCTTGCTGAAGATTTTTCACATCCTGTTCCGAACCCCTTTTTCTATTTAGTTCAGGATCATCGCTAAAGTCATTATTTATAACAAGCACTTTTCCTTTTGGTTTTTTTGACATGTCGTAGTATTCTCTTTTGTGTTTTTCATACCTAGCCCTTAATGCACGATCATTTTGGATAGTATCTTGTGGCTTGTCTTCGCCTCTTATTTCTACCTGAAGATCGTCTCTTCTTCCATTACCTGTTGCTTTTACTTCGTTGTTCATCAAGTTCAAGGTGATGTCCAATTTAACAGTATGAAGAACATGTTGTACATCTTTATGGTCACTCATTTTATGAATTACTCCGTTTT